TTTTTTGGAGGTTGGAAATCACAGCATAAATAATTGATTTTTGCAGGCATATAGAAAATAATATTACTATGTATTTATTTTCAAATATTTTTGTTTATACAATACAAAACATTAACTTCATCACTTGTTTGCATTATGCAGATAACCGGACATAGTAAGAATCATTCATACACATGATACGAGTAATGTACAGATAAACGTATTTAGATTCAGATTACTTTGTATTCTGATTCATTCTTATCAAAAGGAAAAACGCATTTTATCACCTACAACCATATGAAATGTGATGCAATTCTACATATAAAAATAGGTTATCAGAAACGATATGCCTGTTTACACTTTATTTTTTAAAGGTATTGCTTCAGACACTTAGTAAGTGGATTTCTAATTGTGTTATAAAGTTTATTGACATCATAAAATTTTATCATCAGCATCCGTTTAATGAAGAAATTATGAAAAATGTATATAGATAGTAAAAATGAAATTGAAATTCACCAAATTTTTAAGCTATAATTATTTTAAAAAACAATAGAAGATTGAGCAAAAAGCCACTTGATCTAAGCCAACAACAAACTAATCAGAACGTCTCCTTATCAATACGAATCGAATGTTTTTTGAATAATTGCAATCGGTTGAACCGTATTCCTGAAATCGCCGACTAAAATTTGTATCCGCACACACACACACGCACATATACACACATCCATTTTTTCTAAGTTATGCCAAATGTTCAGAAACCTTTGAAATTTAAAGATATATGAAAATTTTCATTTTCGATTATTTTGGGATTACTATAACTTACCCTAGGAAAAGTTAAAAATTCAAAAAAATATTAGCATTTAATAAATTCAAAAACTTGAAAAATTAATATAATATCACTCACTACTACAATTGATTTAAGTATTGTCTAAAACCAAGAATATGATTAACTTATGTTCATATAATAAGTGAAGTTGATTTATCTAAAAATGGTACCATTTACTTTTCGTTTAAAAATATTTTTATTTCAATAACCCATAAAAATAGTTTTATTTCTTCTATGCCTTCTTTGATGTACAATATTGCAATTCCTACTACAGCAATAAAATTATTTAACAACTCCAACATAAAAGCTTGAATTTTATGAGGCACAGAAGAACAAAATATTAAACATAGCTCCAATAAAAACTATTTCAAATTGAAATGTATGAATATTGCCAAGTTGGATTTAATCAAAGTAAAAGGAGTCTTATACTTGTTTTTGTGTGTGTCATAAATATTTCGATACAATGTCGATAAGAGTTTAGTCATATTTACTCTAAGAATTTACTGACTAATTAACGTGCGTATCTGTTCCCTTTGTGAGTTGTTTACAGAGCAAACAGGCTTTGAATATTCAAGCATTGTTACTTTGATCTAAATGTAATGATTTTGTGATGAATAGACTTACTTTATAGATAAATCGTGTATTTATGAACGGAATTAACAAACCGTAATACCTTACTTAATACAAATTAATAATGGTATTATCCTATGGAGTAGGTCTGTGAAATACTTGGATTGCAATCTTAAATTGGAAACTGAATTTCAATGAGTTTTTTTATTATAAAATAATATCAGAAAGTTAATATATCTATAGAATGTTCAAAATAAAAATTGAATTTATATGACAATAATGAGATTTTAATGGTGTATGTAGCATTACCAATAAGCAAAATTTCGTTTTTTTTCTTTAAGTAACAAAAATATATTAATAAATTGCACACCTATCCAATTAATATCAATACAATCATTCAAATTATATAAAGAAAGGATGAGTAAGTTCTTTAGGAAGTAATAGATCATTTCACATTAAAATTAAATTAAATTAAAAACATAAATTATTGGTTAATTATGAAGTTTGGAAGTCTGTAACTATTGTAACAAAATATATCTTCACTTGTTTTACCAATCACATTGATATTGTGTCACTATCAGTGCACCTGATAGAATTTTTTCAAGTGACTTTATAATGTAGTCTTTGATATAACATTTGATTTTTCGTGAATTATACAAACAGTACAAATTTCTTTTAAGATTAGTTGTTGGACAAGAAAGGAATACCATCACTAATCATTATATTAGCAATTAACACCTGCAAATGCAAATTTTAGAAATGAAGATTTCTAAAAAAAACACTAGTTGGTTGAATATTTCAAATCTCACTATAGGTACTATTGGATCAATAAATTATCATTAGTTCTGGTACAATAAGTACAAACTACCATCCTCAATAATGAGTTGAAAATTTTAGATACATCAATTCTGATTTTATCTAAATATCCACTTACAATTTTGTAAGTAGGCTCTTGATTATTCGATTCGAAAGATTTTCGTATTCGAAGCTGCATTTGACTAACATACTAATATTTAAAACTAGCTGTAAGTGGAATTCTGTATTGAGGCAATTATGGCATCGTGCCTTAAGGCAAATTGCTGAAACTTCCCGTACCGTAACAAAATGTTCGTGGAATACTGAATGTTTTCAAATAGATTATTATAAATATTGTAACATTGTCTAATATTTATAAGAATTATATAATGAATTGCAGAGTTGAAATTATTTGTAAAGTATATTAGAACTATAGTCAGAATTAAAAATTAAATCTGAAATATTTTCGATATACAAAAAAAAAAAAAAAAAAAAAAATGGAACAAAATTTTTTTTTCCAAAATCAATTATTTTGTTAAGACAAGCAGAAAGTTCTTTGAATCATTTGAATCAGACGCTTAGTTCTCTCAAAAATTGCCATTTTTTACATATTTAGCTCCGTATCTTCAAAATGGCTGGGCCTGCCTTTGCCAAAAAACTAATAAACACTTCTCCCAATCATTACTAATTGAATGTTTTTTAGATCATTCAAATCGGATACTCCGTTCTCTCAAAAATTCGATTTTTATTTCTGCACTCTTTGCTCCGTATCTCCGAAACGGCTGGAACTACCTTTGCCAAAACTAATCAGCTCTTTTCCCTATCAATAGAAATCGAATGTTTTTTGAACCATTCAAATCGGTTAATCCGTACGCCCGAAAACGTGGGCGAAAATTTGTATCCATACATACATACACACTCACACACACACACACACACACACACACCACACACACATCCATTTTTTCTGAGGTATGCCAAAACGTTCAGAAACCTTCAAAACGTCGAGAAATGTAAAAATTTTCAATTCCGATTTTCGGCCCATTACAATAACTTACCCTACGGGAAGTTAATAAATCATTGTGAGAGTTGTAATATTCAATTCATAATATTAACCCTTTCAACTCGGATTCCGCCGCTCTGGCGGCAAAATACATATAAATTCCGGAATTCGCGAGTGGACTATGCACTTGTTCGGCAATAAACGCTTTATTTATTTTTATTATTAATACAAACACTGTGCTGAAACGAATTAATGGAAAAAATTGCTTCGAGATACGAGATATTCGACATGCGAGCGTGGTTTCGGAACGAATTAGGCTCGTAAGGCGGGGTGCAACTGTAAGCTCTTACAATTTGAAGATAATTGTACATGCTTTTTTTATAATTTGAGAGAATATAAACAAAATCTTTAAAAACTCTAACAACAAGAACTGTAATGACTTGCTAATACACACAGCAAGCAATTTGTTCCGCTAAATCTTTATGGTCTAGAAAGTAGAGTCGCACTTTTTGGTTTTGAAATGAGATAGGATTTTGTATTTATTATATCAAAGATTAGTTTCTATTCCTTAAATGCAAAAAACTTAGACAACTTACAATTTGACAATTTATATGGATGAGACCATAATCCGAGTTTTCAATTTTTGCAAAAAAACCATGGAGAAAATCAGTCTGTGTGAATTCACCACTAATCACACCCCGCAATATACAAAATAAATACAAGTATAATAAAATGAATTTACCCATTGTATATGAATCTATTACTACAATGAAAATAAATTTAACTCCAGCTCAATTTACTCTTTTTACCTTCATACAATTGAATGCACTATAAAACAAAATTTATTATATTCACCTCGAGCATGTTTATAAATCCGTTGCCCTTTGGGTACAGTCATTGTTTATTAGCAATAAACTAGCCTCATATTTATATTTGCAAAACACTATCACAATAATGTACACAGTATCACTAGCCACACTAATAATTCACTAATAAGGATACGAATAATGTTTAAATTAATGTTGCGATTGGGAGCAACACACACATTCGTTGAAAAAAATAGTTTAGGAAATCACCTGGAAAATTGGACACTATTAAAAACTTGGGGAAACTCGATAAATTTTGTATTGCAATCGTGCTAATTAATCATATTTAAATAATTAAGCTTTAACTGGTACACAATTAATGTTTAAATCTTTGGTTCCCAATCTGTGGGTCTCTACTCCTCAGGGGGCGCAAGACTGTTTTTTTTGTTTGAAGGGAAGGGTATCTAAATCTTAACTGTTTTTAGTTGGTTTATCTCTAGTAAGAGTTTAAATCGCTATTGGGAGCAATATACCTATTCGTTAAAAATATAATTTGGGAAATACATCTGATAAATTGGACATTATCAAACCTTGTAGAGAAAATTCAAAAACAAATGTGTACTACTATCGTGCTATTTTTTGTAAAAAAATATTTAAAATTGTCTCAGTGGTTTCCAAACTTTTCGTAAGTGTTTTGTTTAAATTAGGAGCAACATAAACATTCGTTTATAATCTAGTTCGGAAAGTTCATAAAGAAATTTGGACTCTATGAACAAAACTTAAGAAAACCCTACAAGTTGCGTATTACAACCCTGATATTTTCACAAATAATAAACTACTTAAATCTTATCAAGCTTTAACTCTGCGGTTTCCAACCTGTGGGGCGCGGCCTATCAAAGAGACGCAAGGCGGTTGCAAGGGGGCATAATATAATAGAGTTCTCAAAATATTATTTTCGAAAATCAACCAAGAATGTTCAAGTGATATGAAAAAATAAATTGATAAACAATTATTTTATGTATTAATTTGTAGTCTAATGAATACATTATATCAATTGAGTATTCATGAAATTAGATCGTTAGAAAAATTAATGGAGTCGCATCAATTTTCGTAAAAGAAAGAGGGGGGGGGGCGTACTAAAAGGTTGAACACCACTGCTTTAACTGTTACTATTTTATTTATCATTAGCTACAATTCACTAATGAGAATAACAATAATTTTTGAAATAATGTTACAATTAGTACTAACACACATCCGTTAAAAAATAGTTTGGGAAATTTTAGTTTTTTTTTTTAAATTCTTATTGCAACTTTTATATTAAAACATATGTAGTATCATCCGATATTTTTGAATAAAACACAAGGAAAATGAGACTGTAAAAGATTCGGTACTGATAAAAAAACTATTCAAATTTTTATTAAGCTTTAACTGTTACTATTATTTATTACAGTGGTTTCCAAACTTTTTCGCACCGCACCCTCCTGCTCTAATAAAAAAAATGTTGCGCCCCCCATTATTTTTTTTCTTATTTGACATAACATGCAATATTATGCAAAAATTTGCATAAAAACCAATATTTTTATTTGTTTATTTTTTAATATCATTTCAAAAATTTTGAGTTGTTTTCATTAATAGAATTTTGGAAACAGATGTAAAACAGCCTGGCGCCCTCCTGAGCCCCATAGGTTGGAAAATGCTGATTTATCATTAATAATAAATTCATGTTGCAATTAGTACTAACACAGACATTAGTTAAGAAATATTTGTGAAATTTGTCTCGTGTTAAAAAAAATTATTGATACTGTTATATAGCACATCTTGTAACTTTATTTTGATAAGGGATAATGTTGTCAAAGTTTGGCAACAAATTGCAACAAATCTTCAAGACGGTCTCACAACATAAATATTTGGTATCACAACCCTAATATTTTTCAAATTAAAAAAAAATATTAAAATCTGCAAGAAAGTCGCACTTAAGCAAGCCCTAACTGTAACGATTTTATTTATTTGTACTGCATCAAGTATGATG